TCAGCATCCGTAAATCATCATCAACGAACCATTTAAGAAAGTGAAGTAGAAGTTGAAGAGGGTCCAAATTTCAGAAGAAACGACAACCACCAGAGAAGAATTTCGAAGTCTCTCTCTTTTATTCGTCTATTCCAAAAGAACTTGAATGAGAGAGTCAATTGTTTCATGATAAAGAATGAGCTAACCTGGTTTGCCGATCACCAAGCAAGCTTGATAGCTTCCCATGGAAAAAGATATCAAGCTAAAACAAGAGTAGGCCAGGATATTTTTTCAGATAAACTGCTCGAGCCTAAAGAGCAACACTTCAGAAACCGGTAGACAGTTGAAGAACCTGATCAGTGAGCACATGGCTTGTGTCAGGAGAGCAGATGGGCATGGCCCTGTTGCTGCATGGGCACAGCATTCTACGGAATCAAGCCATACCATGAGATGTGATAAGCATGGTTCGCATGGAAGCCAACTGACGGAGAAAAATGTTCTTGGATTCAATTGCTTTGGAACGAACAAAAGGCGCTATCAACAGGCAGGAAAAAGTTTAGCAAATTGGTCCGGCATAGGCTACTCTGCTACATGGTTAAATTATTAATAAATGTATGCCGTTTGAATTCACGTCTCTCGTTTCAAACTCACCGCCATACTCTTGCAACCTTGTCCCTATAGCAATAACATGAAAGATGCACCAAGAATTGGCATGGCGGTGCAACCACAGTGGAGCATGTTATCTCCAAACGGCCAAAAGGACAACTGCATTAAGTCTGGCCACCCTGAGATGCAAGATCGCTTCTGGACGTTGCTCCAGATTAAGCTCTGGATTCAACAGTGTTTGCACATTCCCTGAATCCTAACTAAACCATTTAAATAATGGTCTGTTCAATTAGACAAATATATGTCAACTGCACTCCAATATTAGAGCTTAGATCTTCTTGAAATCTTCTGTGAATAAGCACCTGGTACTTTGAATAATGTTCATTTTTCTGCCTTGGAAGAATGAATGAAATGACAGAGTTTGCATGGGAACAGAGATCTTTCGATTGTACCTCCAATGCCTTACTTGCTATATTCCCTGAAGTAGTGCGATATGGAGATTGATTTTAGAAATAAGCCAAAAATATTGGTGCCGAACACTCCAGAAGTTAATTAATGTCAGTCATTAGGATGATGAAGTTACGGTACATTTTAAAACAGCCTAATGAACGTCTATGCCAGGACTAATGGCGTTACACTCGTAAGGTGCAGCAGTTCCGCAAAGCTGTGCGATAAAACTTCCAAAAATGACAGATAACCGGCAATTGTATTCGCAGTTAGTCCACTGGCCCTGTTTTTGCAATTGCTGGCTTCGTTTAAGCGTTAAAATCATCTTCGTCATCGATGTGAATCAGGCTCTTCAAAAACATAAATTTTTCAGATGGTCACTCAAGCTGAAAAACGTGTATTTTATAGACAGATGCAAGCCATTGAAATAAATAGGGCGAACAGTGATTTAGTAGCTAGGCCCTATTTATTTACTATATATTTGCCACCAGACATGGTCCAATCTGCCTTGTGTCATTTCGCTGTACCAAGTGTCAGCTGAACGCTGATCTAAATTACCGCAGCTACCATGCTTCCTCTATTCCTGTTGTTCGTCGCAACCGATATGTCAGGCAGGGCAGCAGACGTGTCAGCGTTACTGTATAATTTTCTTGCTTGTGTTTTAGCAGCGCTTATGGCTCACAAGATAACCCACACACGAGCGGTTGTGCCGCAGGTGCATGAAGACATCAATGTGAACGTCATCAACCCACCGCCGTCGATCGTCATTCAGAGAAACCCGCCGCCCGTCATACAGAATATCCACGTGACCAAGCAGGAGTCACAGGCATGTCTACAGGCGTTCGCTCTGGTGCCCAGCCACAACGTTCTCGTCCAGACGGTAAGTCGCTATCGCGTCGATGGCTACATCCCTGGAATCGGCCATCCGACGTTTTGCGACGGAAGCTTCAACTACTACCGAATTCCCAACTACAAGTACATCGTCGACCTCAAGAAGAAGAAGGCTTAGGTAAATCAGGAAGACATAGTATAGTTATGCCGGTAGATCTGAAAGCGCTAGAAAACACTGTCGTATTAGTTATACGTGGTAAGATGTTTTTTCATAAACGTGTTGTTTCGTTGTTGTACATTGGCGGGCAATGTTTTATCGACGCAAATAAACATTTACTACAGTTGCAACTAATTTTGATGCCACAACCGCGTTATGCAGAGCCGTTTGGCACCGGCATAGCGCGGCTTCGCTCATAACAAGTTCAAGCAGTTTCGTCACCCATCGATTTATAAGATGCCGTTGGAAAAGTTTCTTCACAAGCCCTCAATGGCTAATGATGTTTTAATAAAAGCACAATCCACAGATGAGTCCTCTGAAAACTTCATGAGGGCATTTCATGAGCATCTTGAAAAAGACGGTGCCAATGAGTCTATGGTAGAGGTCTTCTAGACTATAGACTTCAAATGCTACGGTTGTACGCACTGAAACGAAGAGTTGAACCCAAAGGCTCTATCGTGCAA